AAAAAAAAAAAAAAAGGGAAAGACGAAGAAGGTAGAAAATGACGACTCTGTCTACTGAAAATCCACCTTTTAAGCTGATTCATTGTTTCTGGCTGGAATCCCGTTTGTGTATCGCATTTCAATAGTGTTTCTTGGAAATAAATTCAAGTAATAGTAATAATAATAAAAATGCTGGACGCTAATTAAAAAAAAAAAGTTTTTTTTAGGAATCTCGAGCACTTCTGCAATTTGGTAGAGTTGGATCTCGTCCTCATCCGTCCTTTTTTTTTTTTTTTTTTTTTTTCCTTACAGGAGTAAAGAGGATTGAATTTAACGCCTGAATTTGGACGTGTTCGTGGAATGGCGCAGGAAATCGCGATTGATTTGCATTCCTGCATCTCTGCCCAAAGCCCATCCAGATTCAGGAGCTTAATGCAATCCTCTTTGCTAGTGGTACAGGAAATCGCGATTGATTTGCATTCCTGCATCTCTGCCAAAAACCCATCCACATTCAGGAGCTTAATGCAATCCTCCTTGGTTTTGCCGAGTCAATTTGGTTCCGCTAACGTCGACCAAGGAGGGCGGACCCGCAAAACGAATATTGAAAATGACAAAAAAAATAATTTTTTTTACCGTTATTTTTAGTAGGAAATGTATTCGCAATCTTGGTTTTTTGGGGGGGGGGCATTATATTACCACCCCTGTGATGTACAACTGCCAGGGATTATTCGCACTGAGAGCTTGTCAGATGCACCTGGTCGCATATGCGGTCAAATACCTCGACAGAACTTTGTGATGTGAGTACGTCATTAGGTTATACGATTGCGCGGAAAATATTTTCTCAATCAGTGCATGTAAGCGTGCGAGGCCGGGCCGCCGGGGAAAATAGGGTGACCCGGGCGGCCCGGCTGGTAGCCCAGGTGATTTATTTATTTTTGGGGTAAATTCTACGCGCAACGCTTGTTGGTCCCACCACTGAGATTGCCACTTAATAAATAAATTCAATTTAAGAAATTAATCAATTATCTATGTGAAAAAAACATATGTGATTTTTTCTTGGGGGAAGGGTAAATTCTGGCCGCAACGGTTGTTGATCCTATCACTGAGATTACCACTTAATTAATAAATTCAATTAACTACAAAAGTTTACAATTATTTTAACGTCTGCAAATTTGGGAAAACGTATGGTAAAAAAAAATGAAAATTGAGAAAATGTATGGGGAAAAAAACCAAAAATGTTGTCACTAACCACCAATTCCATGTTCTTCCTCCCCTCCCCTGCCCCCCCC